CGTCAAGCTCAACAAGTCATAGGGGAACTGCAGTGGTTGGTTACCCGAACACGACCTGACATGGTGTATCATGTTGGTGTCATGGCACGTCTTGCGCACCGACGAGCAAGACATGTGGTCAAGCTTGGAGATGAGTCACTGAGGTATTTGAGTGCGACAAGTTCAAAGGGTTTGCACTACATGAAGACCACAGCACAAAAACCATATGGTCGCAATGATGAGCTGGCCACACAGGTGTCGATCAACAACTTGGAGGTGTTTGTGGATGCTTCGCACGCCCTGGAGCATGAGAACTACAAGTCGGTGACTGGGGTGATACTATGTGTTGGGGGTTCTCCCATCGCATGGGCAAGTGGCAGACAGCCGTTTGTTACCACTTCAACAGCCGAAAGCGAACTGGTGAGCTGTGGAGAAGGTTTCCAGTGTGGGTGGAGAAAGCCTTGCAGCACTCCTGGAGGTGATGGGCGTTGGAGACATCAACAAGACCCTCAACTGCGATTCCAAAAGTGCACTTCACTTGTGCACCAATGACACAGGTAGTTGGAGAACAAGACACCTGAGGATCAGGTATGCTCGACTTCGAGAAGCGTTTCAAGATGAGCTCTCGCGATGGTGCGCGAGGCATGTCAGTGGTTTGGTGCTTCCAGCTGATGGAGCGACGAAACCGCTTCAAGGACCAAAGATGGACAACTTTGTGGACTCCATCTACCTGGACGATCTCAACGATCTACGACGTGCAGAAGATGAGTTGAGAGCGGAGGAAGAGATAGTAGTGAGGCTTCTCTCAACTGGCCAGACGCTGATGGAGACAGATGACTCTCAGTGTCAAGAAACTGGTCTGGGCCTCATCGTTGCTGCATGTTGGATGATGAAAAGAGGGAAAGGGAAAATGAACCTTCCCCACCATGGTCAGTTAGGGAAAATGAGCCAACTGACATGGAAGAGGCCAACGTCAGGGCACCAAATGAACCGGCGTTGAGACATGAGGGTAGGGAAGATGAACCACCCCGTAGGTTGATGAAAACCATGGTGAGGGCCCCAAATGAACCCACCATGCGAGAAGAGGGCAGGGAAAATGAACCGCCCAACAAGAGCCAAAAGGAGGCCATGCAACCTTTCCCAAAAGGGATGATCGATGTGGAGGGGAAAAGAAACTTTAGGGTTTCGAACATGGAGCGTAGTCTTAGTGCTGAGTACTATCCTCAAAGGGATCAAGTTTCCACCCCACAAAGATCATCTCAAAACCCTGACAACTGCCCTTCGGGCTGCCACGGGCCGCAACTTCGGGCGCTCAAAGTCAGCCATGGGAAGAGACGTCAACAACGAGGTCTTTCGAAGAGGCGCCAAGGGGATGGGCATGGTTTCAACTGCAACTTGGTTGGTCGTGCTGAGCAATGGCATGGACTTGAAGGAGATCCGATTGAGGACTTCTCTGAGGACCTTGGGCTCGAGCCGCCAACTGAGGTTTTGGGTGCCGGGCGACACGCCATGGAGAGCACGGCGAGGTCGTCAGGGAGTTCGGCAACAGGAACTTCTTCACTGCCGGCTTCGAGGGCAACCAAGGGAAAAGGCCACAATGGCCAAGATGATGGCCAGCATGGCTATGGAAAAGGCCAAGGAGGCCACTACAAGGGCCAACAAGGCCAGATGGATGGTCAGCCTGACCAAAAAGGAAAGGGCACTGGCAAGGTGTCTGAACGTGGTAGGGTGGCAATGTTGAGCCCTACAACTTCAGTTCAGCCATTTGGGCTGGAACAGAACCCCAACCGCTTGGACCAGTTCAACAACGTGGACAAGCAGCAATGGGAACAAGAATGATGAGGGGTAGTCGCTTTGGGTTTGAGCACGTGCCGATCCGCAACTACGATCCACGTCTTCGAGAACCAGAACCACAAGAGCGACCTCCAAGACCACCAGCGCAGCAGGTGGATGAAACGCAGTCTGATGGGAGCTATGAGTTGGTTTCAGAGGCTGTGGATGAGGAGCAGCCCCCACAGACTGAAAGGCAAGTGCAGTTGGAGGGCAAGCATGGTGCAATGGCTATGCCCCCACCAGGTGGAGATGGAGATGATCCTGGCCGAGATCGTCGAAATCGACGTGAACCAGAACGAGACCATGGGCCAGATCCTCCATCGGATGATGAAGATGATGATGAAGAAGAACGTCCACGCAGAACATGCACAACCCTGGACGTCAAGAGGCAAAGAATGGCTTGGGCGCGACCCCCTGGATACTGGTTTCGGGGACGTGGCAGAGGCTCCAAGCAGGATGTGGAGACTGGCAAGGATGGGTCAACGATCGTCCATGGGGTGCTCAGCCCAAACCTGTCCTGGCAAAGGATATACGCCAAGGGCTGTCGACCCCGCCAGCTCTTCACACATGACCAAGGAGGAAAAGGGTCAGCGCAGGCAGCTCCAGTGCTGATGGGGCGAGGCGACACACCGGCTGAGCAGAGGCGCAGCATCCTCCTGGCCACAGCCAATGCAAAGGCGGTCCAGGCGTTGCGAACAGCCGACCGGGTGAACACCACCAGCGAGGACTCGAATGAGGTGGCTCTGGCGGTGGAGGCAGCTACAGCTGCGGTGGACTACGCCGCGGACGTCCAGGAGATGACGGAAAGTGGCACCACCCCAGGCCAAGCTGGGAAAAGCAGTGGCAGAAGTCGCATCTCTGTCGCACAACTTGGAAAAGGCAAACCTGCCACCGCTGGCGAGCTGCAGGCTCACTACGCAGCGAAGGGCAAGGCAAAAGGCAGTGAAGCCTTGGAGCCTTCTGCAGATGGTTTGCATGAAGATGGCGGCGAGACTGCGGAGGAAGAGGTCTCTGAGAATGACATGGAGGTCATCCCTGAAGAGGACGAGGGCGATGGCGATGATGGTGGAGGTGATGATGGTGGAGCTGAAGGGCCTGCAACAGACCCACCAACAGCTACCACAGCAACCGAGGTGGCAATCACTTCGACCACTGCGGGTGACCCAGCGAATGTTGAGGAAGAGGTCAACGCAGAGCCAGAGAACGTTGAAGAAGAGGTCAATGTGGAGCAGGACACAGAGGTTGGAAATGCGCGCCCTTCAAGGGTGGTGCGCAACGACCCGGAGCATGAGATGGCGCCGATTGTCCCAGGAAGTTTGGGGCAACAGATGCGGCAAAATACAGGTTTGGGGATGGCACCAGCAACTTCAGCGCAGCATGTGCAACAAGTGATGACAGCGTTGATGCAGGGCCAGACCATTCCCTTGACGTATGGGCGATGGGTCCAGTGGGATCAGACCAGTTGGGTTGGATCCATGCAGACCTACAGATATGGTGTGCTCAATGGCTTGCAGGTGGAGATGGACTTCGCGCAGGTGGGCTTGATGCTTCGCCGGCCAGTGGTTCCTGGTGTGACGCATTCGCTTGCGCTCCAAGGAAATGTGGTGGCTGTGCCGAAGAATGGGTTGACCAGAGAAAGCACAGAGGAGGAGGAGGCTGACCCAGGGGTTCCGTTTGAGCACGGGATGGTTCAACCTGGAAGGAAACCGCCACCTCAGGCTTGGTTTCAACGACAGAACATGCAGGAGTGGATGAACCGCATGGCCAAACCACCAGCAGTTCCAGCACAACATGCAATGCCAGGTCCACCACCAGTGGGCCCACCACCTCAAGTGAGAGCGGGACCACCTCCAATGGGTCCACCTCCGGCCAAGGTGATGCCGAGGGCAGCTCCGAACTATGTGCCTGGACCTCCACAAGGGCAACTACCAATGGCTGCGCCGATGCAGCAAAGACCACAAGGTCCGGCAGGATATGGTGGTGATCAAGGTGGCAGTCTGCAGCCACCACAACAGCAGATGATGGGAAACCCTGGTCAGAGGGCGACGTTGTCCCATATGTTGCGGATGACTGGCGAACTTCGAGCAGAACGAGGAGTTCAACCAGCCAAAGCTGCAGCAGACTTGGGTCTGCGACCGGTGTTGCGTCCGCCAACGACAACATCGAAAGCTGCAGCGAGTTCCACAAATGTTTATGTGGAGCGCCGTGAAGAGGCTGCCGATAGGGTTACGGTGAGATCCGATTCACCGGCCCTGTCAGTGACTTCGAGCTCTACGGCATGATCCAGGTGGAGCGCAATTTTGAAAAAATGCTCTTTTGAGAGCCGGACATTTTTCCTTTGGCAGAGTCTTTACTGCCGATAGATCAGCCGCGGTGTGAGTCTTTACATGCCAAGGTTGACTTCGAAAAGTGCGAGTCTTTACGCACTGTAGTTTTTCAGATTTTAAGACCAGTTGAGCCTAACAACCACCTGGCATCACTGGCAAATCTAATCTTAAGAGCCTTGAGCCCTGTAAAGAGCCTGCCGAACATAAGGCACGAAAACTCCCTTTTATGCACGACAAAGTCGTGGGGGGAGTGCAAAAGGGTTGATGTGCATGCATGTACAATAGGGTAGGTGTAGGATCTGGTCTTATCACTGCTTGACAGGTGAAGTATCTGTTCTTATCAGTGTGACGACTGGAGGCTCTTTTAGGATCAAAAGTCGCGCTGCTCTGCCTAACACACATGGAATTCTCGCCGTTATGTATTGGATATCAATTATAAGGGCCCCCCCCCGAAAATGGTCATGGGTTCAATTCCCACGGGTGACGCGGTCACGGGCCCCCACATTAGAGGCACACTTTCCATGAGGGAGATGTCCCTGTAGTCCAGCATAATTGGTTTGCTTCAGCCTCAATAACAGTTGCTGCAAGGGGTCTTAAAAAGGGGTTTTAAATAAACCCCTTTTTGTGCATCATTTCACGCTGCACAAGACACCGTATCATGCAGCCATGCTCTGGATAAAACCATCTTAGACTGCGCAAAAACGTTTTTGGTGTATCATCTTAGGGGCGCAGCATTTTGACACCACTCCTCTCCCACTACACTACCTTTCGTCCGCCTCCGCCTGCTCTCAAGTGCTTTGGGTATCTTTGGATTTTGAAAACTCAGATTTTGATGAATTTCTGAAAGTCCTGAAAGCCAAGGTGCGCCTGGAATCCTTTCTGAGGACGGGAACCTGGAGAGTTTCCAATTCTTCGTCAGCAAGAGAAGTTGATAAAACAGAGAAGTGGATAGAAACGAAAAAGGCAAAATGAAAAGCTTTGAATATAATGTAAGCCTCGAACATCCTCGACCATATAATACTCATGTCGGCCAGCTTGGTATTTGAATCAGTCAGTGGGATTCTACACCTGAGAGCCCTGCGGATCCACAGGATTCTGCCCGGTCCGTTTGGTTCAGGACGTCAACGCTGAGACACTGGCGGAGGCGGCGGAGCGTTTGAAAGTCAAGAGAGTTTCTTGGCAAATCGATCTGGGAAAAAAGCGAGTTGTTCCGCTGGTACCTTTCAGATCCTTTCAGCCTTGGTCTTTCCATACCAGAAAGTTGTTTCGGTGTCAACTTGCACAGACTTGCACCTCATTGGAAATCATGGTGATTGCACACCTCATTCAATCTTTACTGCACATCATGCAGCATTTCTTTGCACTGCCTGATTCCTTTTCTACCTAAATGGGTGCATTCAAGGTGACAACGAACGACGTGAAGCGGGAGTTGTCGTTTAAGCGCCATGAGCGACAGGCTGCGGAGTGTTCGATTCAGAAAGCATATTGTTGAAAGATTTAAGACACCCTGAACCTTATTGGGACCAAACCCCAGAAATGTTGGAACCTTTAGAAGTACCTAGATTTGAAGTCAATAATCATCCAACCTGGCATGGACTGAACAATTAGAAAACGAAGCAACTTACATCAACTTACATAACTTGGCACTAGAATTCGGCGTCAAAAAACAATACTTGTAGTGTCTGATAGAGTGCTGGAACGGACCCACTCGACGTCAATCGACGCCGTTGCAGGGAGACGCCTCTCCTGAAGAGTCTTTGGCAGCTTCAAAGATCCTTGGCGCAGGGAGGCTATCTACTTGGGCACGTTTTGGCACCCTGTGAGTCCGGTGAGTCCCAAAACTTGAAAACAACAGTTCCCAACTTACAGCTTTCATTTGTGAGGAAATGCGTTCCGTACAGTGGACGCATCCTTCAGGTATGACCACACGTTCAGTTACTACATCTTTCTGTCTGTCATTTTGCTAGGACTTGCTGCAGCACAGCTGTCAACCGAGGATGAATATGTTGAAGAAGAATCCCTTTGATGGCGGGCAGAGCAGTGAGTGCTGTTGACTATGGGCAGAGCATAGAGCTCGTATTTCCCATTATGTACCGTTGGCCCTACCATAGACGAAGACATCTTCTGTCACAAGCTCCTTTTCACCCATCATCATCACGCATCATCACGCATCACAGCATGCACGATGATTGCATTGAAACCATTGAAACCATTGGAGAGTTGTGGTTCCTTGTGGTTCCTTGTGGTTCCTTGTGGTTCCTTGCGAGATGTTTGCCGTATCGCTGCGTCAGAACATGGAGACTTTGGAAGTCGAAAAACCCTCGGCGAGTCCACGACCTAGTCTGCCGTGAACATCCTTGAACACTTCGCTGAATCCAATAGCTTGATACTTCTGTACATGTGCAGTTTGTACGGTGTAAAGGTGGAAGATCAAGATAGATCAAGATAGATCAAGTGCTTCAGTTCCTTTCGTTGAGATATGTTGAGATCTGTCGACTTGATGTCCAGACTGTCCAGATGCCCAGGAGCTGGAATGATGCAATCCGACATCTCCAAACTCCACAAGAGGGGCCTTTCATCGAAAGGGTGGCATCAGGAGAAACATGGAGAAACTGCGATACATGAATTTCAGACATGCAAATATATAATATACCAGTAGTACCCGCACAAGGCGGGGCGGAAGTTGCCTTAAAGATATATATAAGACCTTTCTCATCTATAGAACTTGCATGCGCCGTGCGCCAGCCAAGCCCGTGCGTGCGTGCACTCTGCGAAAGTGGTGTCTTGTTTCACATGTCACATTTGAAGCTCCACTTCACACTTCACAGTTGACAGTCTTCACACTTCACAGTCCACACTTCACATTGCACTCTTCACACTGCGCCCTTCGCAGTCAACACTTCACTTCACACTGTACTCTTAAGACTCCACACTTCACACTTCACACTGCACTCTTCACGCCCTTTCTCACTGCACTCTTCACACTCCAAACTTCACACTTCACACTTCACACTGCGCTCTTCACGCCCCACACTTCACACTGCACTCTTCACACCCCACACTTCATCTCGTCTGAGCTCTTCTCACCTTATCCCAGCTCAAACTTGCTACGTTCTTCTTGGCTATTTTCATGTCATCTGAGCGCAGCTCAAACTTGCTCATGCGTTGGACCTACTTTCAACTTCAGCAAGGTTGAGCGTAACTCATGTCAATTCTTCTACATGCCAAAAGGCGTAGACCATAAAATATTTACAATATTGAGGTCATTAATGCCAAGCGTTGATGCATTGCATCAAATCGCAACGGCAAGTGTAAACATGGTGTAGTCGTTACCCGTTATGCATCATCATTGATTGCATACCCTTCATTTAAGCCAAACACAGCTGCGAGCATCACAGCATGACTTGTTCTGTGGGTCGGCCGACGTCAAATACTATACACGTAGATGACACTAGCACAAAAATAGGACTCAGTAATTAGAAGCTGACAAATCACTTTCGCAGCCTGGATGCAGCCATTCCAATACGATTTACGATCTTCAGCTGCAAAAGACAATAGTATTACGCATGCAGCCGCTGCACCAAGCAACCTTGACGCAGCCACTACAATGCGATCTGCAGAGACTGAGTTGCAAAACACAATGGAACTACGCAATGGCGTCGGAAATTGCAGCTGGAAAACCGGATCTCGACGCCAAAGCGAGAAAAAGACGATTTTGAAGCACTTTTTAAAAGGAATTTGAAAAGGAAAATTATTAGCGCCAAAATTGAGAAAATCTGCTGACAAATCACTTTCGCAGCCTGGATGCAGCCATTCCAATACGATTTACGATCTTCAGCTGCAAAAGGCAATAGTATTACGCATGCAGCCGCTGCACCAAGCAACCTTGACGCAGCCACTACAATGCCATCTGCAGAGACTGAGTTGCAAAACACAATAGAACTACGTGCAATGGCGTCGGAAATTGCAGCTCCAAAACCGGATCTCGACGCCAAAGCGACAAAAAGACAATTTTGAAGCACTTTTTAAAAGAAATTTTAAAAGGAAAATTATTAGCGCCAAAATTGAGAAAATCTGCTGACAATTCACTTTCGCAGCCTGGATGCAGCCATTCCAATACGATTTACGATCTTCAGCTGCAAAAGACAATAGTATTACGCATGCAGCCGCTGCGCCAAGCAACCTTGACGCAGCCACTACAATGCCATCTGCAGAGACTGAGTTGCAAAACACAATAGAACTACGTGCAATGGCGTCGGAAATTGCAGCTCCAAAACCGGATCTCGACGCCAAAGCGACATAAAGACAATTTTGAAGCACTTTTTAAAAGGAATTTTAAAAGTACAATTATTAGCGCCAAAATTGAGAAAATCTGCTGACAATTCACTTTCGCAGCCTTGATGCAGCCATTCCAATACGATTTACGATCTTCAGCTGCAAAAGACAATAGTATTACGCATGCAGCCGCAGCACCGAGCAACTTTGGCGCAGCCACTACAATGCGTTTCGCAGCATCCCGTAGCAAACCTGCACCTACCTACGGACGTGGCAACACCAAATGACAACAATCATGCAGCCATTCCAATGCGATCTGCAACCAGAGCTTCAAGAAACGCATAGAACTACGCAAACAGGAACAAGCATTCTTGCAAAACACATAGGAGGAACCAATCGCGTCCGGAACGACCGCAGCCGCAACCGCCGCACAGACGAGGTACCTTTCATCGCCGGCTGCAGCCACTTTACACGGAAAAACACGAGGTTTCGTGCTCCGGCCTCCTCCCCACAACATAGCCCATGCAACATTCATGCAGCCATTCCAATGCGATCTGCAACCACAGCTTCAGGAAACGCATAGAACTACGCACACATGAACAAGCATTCTTGCAAAACACATAGGAGGAACCAATCGCGTCCGGAACGACCGCAGCCGCAACCGCCGCACAGACGAGGTACCTTTCATCGCCGCCTCCAGCCACTTTACACGGAAAAACACAAGGTTTCGTGCTCCGGCTTCCTCCCCACAACATAGCCCATGCAACATTCATGCAGCCATTCCAATGCGATCTGCAACCACAGCTTCAGGAAACGCATAGAACTACGCACACATGAACAAGCATTCTTGCAAAACACATAGGAGGAACCAATCGCGTCCGGAACGACCGCAGCCACAACCGCCGCACAGACGAGGTAGGCTGCAGCCACTTTACACAGAAAAACACGAGGTTTTATTATGTATTGTTCCATTATGTATTGTTCTGTGATCTACCACCCTTCATCAAAGTCAATTGCATAGCTTCTATTCTTTTGTTATGTATTGTTACATCATGTATTGTTATGTGATCTACCACCCTTCATCATAGTCAATTTCATAGCTTCTTATTCTTTTCTTATGTACTGTTAGATTATGTATTGTTACATGATCTACCACCCTTCATCATAGTCAATTTCATCGTTTCTTATTCTTTTGTTGTGTATTGTTATGCTATGTATTGTTAGATCACGTACCACCCTTCATCATAGTCAATTGCATCAAGTAAAAGTCATTCGTAACTCGGAAGTATTGCTTCCCAACTTCCTTTGATTATACATATATACAAACATACACATACACACACACACTTTTATACAATATGTTCACTGCGCTAGTCACACATCGCCTCGCTGTAACAAAAAGCGCAAAGGCTACAACCACTTGGCCATTGGTTTTGCAACAGCTTGCAACGTGTTTTTCCTCGCATGGAGGAGTTGTGTTCAAGAGTCTTGCCATGGTGGCCATCGTTGCAAACACCGTCTACTTGGGCTGGGCTGCGGATCATAACGATTCTTGGTGTGAAGGTTTGCACATATTCAGCCGCATTTCAGTTCAGACAAGCAAAACTCTAAAAAAAAAAAGTAAACTTAGCAATACAGTCAATACATGTAACTCATATAACACATAACACCTGTCAACCAAGTGTTGGAACTTGCACTCTTTGCGAAGTAGAAGCTGTGCTGTTGCCTTTTTCGGCCAAGGTGCAGAACAGCTGGAGACGATTGCAAGGCCAACCGGCGGAAGTCACTTCCCGCTCTGCAGACATCGCAGCTCGGATCGCAGAGTCCCCGGTGAAGGAATCTCAGTACATCTCACTACTCAGCTACATCGTACGCACCGATTTAAATGTCCTGAAAACGACCAATCTGTTTTAATTCTCGTTTTCATTTGTTTTCATCTGTTTCCATCTTCTTGTTTTGTTTTTCATGAGCCCTGGTGATTCGAACAGGTGCCCAGAAACCCGATGTCAGTTATATCGGCTGGTTCAATTTTGATCCTTTGAGCTGTGGAGAAACTCTCCAGGCTGCAACATCAACCAGCAGAGAGCGACTAGCACAATGGGATCACAATGGGCAACATGATTTCGTTACCGTTCGAACACCTGACTCTAGCGGGCAACCTCTCATAATATTTAGACCCGCATCCCTAACCGCCAAGGCTTTTGCTGGCCGCCTGGTGGCATTGGCATCACAAGCGCATTTCATGTAGTAAATACTAGATGTATTTTAAAAGATGCTGAAATATGTTCGATGTATGATGTTGAGACTGTGAGGATACAGCGCACGTGCAGTTCAGAGTGGCGCATGTGTAAAACGAAGTTTCAGGTTGGTTTGGAGCGGAGCTGCTGATCCGCGCGGCTGCAGAAAAGCTACAATTCATTATAGGACAGGGATGGACAGGGTGGACAGGGTGTGTGGTGATTGTGCAGAGGCACAGCACAAAGTAAAGAAAGTGAGGTGTTGGGAAGATTTGGGAAGTTGGGAGACGTTTGCAGCCACGGAAATTTGAGCTGGAAAGATTCAACGGACCAAAGAGACACTCTTAAGAGATATAAGATCTTTGGGAGCACTTTTGAGCAATGAATAAAACCTTGCAATGTTTCAATCGCGAGAGAGCAGAGTCTGTCGGAGTCGGGGCAGGCGACGAAAAGTTCTGGAATGCGTTGGACGTGTTTCTGGTGACGGAGCCTTGGCAGAGAGGCTGTCTCGGCTCCGTAAAGATATCGATCGGTATCTAAAATATATATATATATCCATAAGTATCATACGTATGGATCGGTAACCGATGCGAGCTGAGTATAGCACTGCGCATTGCAACTCGAAGGATTTGATGCCACATCTGCAGTCAACTTCAAAGACTTCGTAGTTTGATGCCACAATGCTGTGCGCTATTTTGCTGCAGAAACACGATGAAACACGTTCAAAACACCATCAACTCAGCCTCATTTTGCGCAGTTCAACGTCGCGCTTCCGAGGAGTCCTTGATCACCTTGGCCTGGGATTTGCCTTCGAGTTTAGCATTTCTGCGGACTGGTAATGGGCACAATGTTTCACCACCCATTTGCACCTGCACCGAGTTGCTAGTTGCAGCGGGCAGTGATCTGACCATGTGAGTAGTTCCCTTAAAACACGCTGAGATATTCTGTGACTCCCTCATGACCAACTGTCGGACTCTCTGCTTGTGAGGATTCTGCGAGTTTTCCGGCTGGTGCGCATCGTACGCCTCGTGCGGACGGTTCAGGCAAGCTTATGCAAACTTCCATCTCAAGCAGATGTAGCCACTTGATAAGAATGACAAGAGGGTGTTTCCGCTTTTTTTCACGCAAGTCGCCCAAGTGACGCAGAGAGAAGGAGAGTCACTTCTCTGAATTTCAGCTTTTGGGTGTGACTTCCGAAGACAGCTGTTGCAGGCTTTGCGAAAGCTTCGATTCTTGTCCTTATGCGAGGCGGTTTCCTTGTAAAGATAGTTCCGTCAGAAAGCAAAGTCAAAACAATGCATGGAGAGCAGGGGAGCGTGTCTGAAGTTGACCTCAATCTCAGTGTGACAACTGTTGCTTGTGCCTGGACATGTTCTATGTCAGCATTGCCCCGGGGTTCTTCCAGAGCTCTTCCATGTTTGCTTTCCCGTGCGTTTGTTCATCCCTTCAAAGCATGAGAGCCGGGTTCACAATGAGTAGACACAGAACAGATCCCAGAACATAAGTTCCAAATCAGAACGCAGCAAGCAGCAAGGATGATTTTGAACAGAAGGTTTTTGCGACGTGAAAATGAATATGAATAGAAGATATAAGGCATAGACTAAGGCTTAGTCATTGCGATGTCAACTTAGATGTCGACGACCGAGGAACGATGATCTTCGCGATGCTTAACTCTTTTGCTGACCTTCTCTGGGCGCTGCAAGTGGTGCTCCTCATCGTTCCACGGCGACAAAGCGGCCAAAATGTGCCGAACATGGCAAGAGGTGATGCATAGATATGCTTAGAGTGATAAAGTGCATCTAAAGCGTATCTAAAGTGTATCCGAAGTGTATCTGAAGTGTTTGTGGTTCAGAGTGTTTGAAGTTCGAAACGGGCACAGACGTGTCTCAAGCAGTAGGAAACTCATATAAACTCATTGCTATTGAAGATGTTGAAGATCGGAGCGGGCCATGCATTTTGGACATTGTAAACTCTTGAAAAAGGCTACATTGCAGTGTTGCGGCGTTGCGCGCCCTATTTGGCCGCCTGAGGTCTTCGTGTTTAGTCTGATATTTCAGAATGTGACTTGGACTGGGCAGTCACTGCACCATTGTGAAGACAGGGGGACCAGAACAGGATGATGTAACACATTGTATACAATATTCTATCAGAAGAAAGGTCAGGTGAGACTGGCAAAGCGCGTTGCGTGCAAAATTTTGTGTGTGTGTCTAGCTTTTGGAAGTGCCTCACGCTGTTTCTCATTTTGAGAGTGAACATGAAAGCTCACATCCCAAGGCAGTTGCGGCTCATTTCGATTCTATCGACGTATCTTAGTTTAAACGTGGGCTGGACAGGGTTGTTTTTAGGGGGAAGTTTACGGCACCTTTCTTCCCACGTTCCCAAATTCTGGCCTAGCTCCACAATTGAATTGATCAATTCCTCTTTTTAATCCTGGACTCATGTCACATCCATGTCACATCAATGACTTCACATAGTGATCCACGTGTTGAGTCAGGGGAGCGATAGCGTCGCAGTGAGTGCTGCCGCTGACGTCAACGAACTTTACGGTGGCCTCTATAGTTTCTCGACGGATTTGAAGAATTCGATCAATGTTCCAATGTTTCAAAGCCAATGTGTTTGGAACATCCCAATTGTCGCGTTTGTCGTTCCAATGTGATGCTCAGAGCTTTTTGTTGATTCAACGGTTGTCTCAGTTCTGATGTCAGTTGTCAATTGTAAGTCTTTGTCAGTTGTGATGGCAGAGCTGCATTGTTTGCCGCAAGCTTGCCCTGACTCAGTCTCGATGGTGACGCTGTGGAGTGCAACTTGCCAAAGAATTCAGAAACCAATGGGAACACCGATACAGTAGGTTTGGATGCGCTGAAGCATTATCGTGTGGATCGATTTGGTTGAGAAGTAACCCTTGTGATCTTGTGATCATGATTCGGCTTGGGCTCCAAGGCAATGTGTCCTAGAGCAACTCTCTTGAATGTTTGAACATCTTTCAATGTTGTTTCAGAAGGGCTGTTCCCCAAGGCCGTGAGTGGCGGAAATGATTGGATGCAATATGCAACAATTCTGAAAGAAATCAGCGCCTCGGAGCCGAATGCACTCGATTTACTTGTCTTGTGATGAGCTTGTGATGTTTTGTGTGTCATTCACTGGAGCTGGATTGGTCTGGTGTTCAGATGGCGGTTTCTGGATACAAGCCTGGACACCTGGAGTTGAACTGTTGTGCGTTGTGCAATTTTCGTCGTGATGTGAGGCATGGGCGAGTTTTATTTCATCCTCTTCAATTTCTATATTGCCTTCTGTGTGATGGGACTTTTCAACGTGGTGACGGGAGTTTTCGTCGACAGCGCAGTTTGCACGCGGACAGAGGACGAGATCGTTCAGGACAGACTCTGGTGAGTAATAACGAAGGATTGGTAGGGTTCAAGTATGTTGAAAATATGTTGGAGTGTTTTGACGTGCCTTGGCCTTTTGGTAAAGCACAATTTCGCACAAAATGTCAATGACATATGAAGAGGATTCATACTCCGCACTGTGCTCCCCTCTGTGCTTGGTGTTAACTGTTAAGCAGTTGCAACCTCAAAAACTTTCACTTGAGATGTCTTTTCTCTGTGACGGAACAAAGTGCCAGGGCTATTTGGATGAGATGAAGTCCATGACGGAATCGATCAAAGGTTTCCTCAAGAAAGCAGACAAGGCTTCTTTGAGGCATCATCGTGACAAATTCCCAGATCAGTACTGAACCATCCATGGGGCAATAATCAGATGGCCAAAAGCATGTGCCTCCAAGTATCATGGAAATGTCTTGGCATCTCATTTCATGAATCTTTTCTCGCAGAAATATCGCAGGTCTTGGAATGAAATTCACACGGCTAAGCAGAGCTAAGCTGTCACAAGTTTGCACTGAGGATTCTTCAGGGACTCTGACATATGAAGAATTCCAGGCCCACATGTCCAACCCGGTCGTTCCCACCTCAGTTTGCCCCAGAAGATCTGGAAAAGGATTTGGACGCAACATGTCTTGAACCATTGATCCAGATGTTTTCAGATCTCCATTGTTTCCACATGACTATCATGACTTCCACGAATCTAAGCGATCTAAGCGACCTAAGCAATCTAAGGTCAAAGCCTACTTCAGCGGACTGGACATCGATCCTGACGAGACGAAGATCATCTTCACCCTGTTGGACTCCGACTGCAATGGTGACATCGACATCGAGGCAACGAAATCAGAGCTGTACATATCTTTGATTCATATTGGCAATATATTGGCATATTGGTAGATTTGTGTGGATTTGTACCTTTAAAGACTTTAAAGATCTTTAAAGCATGTAATCAAGATAAACAAGTTTGCTCGTGGGCAGTGTTTTTCTCATTGTTTCCGTCGCAGGAGTTTGTTCATGGCACCATGAAGCTCAAGGGCTACGACTCTCGGCATATCGAGGGGATGTTACAGGAAACAATATTGCAAGGCAAGTGCAATGCCAGCGTTAAAAGACTTTCCGGTTTGCCGCGATCTTTCGATGATACGGAGATTCCTAAAGAAATGAGGGAGCCAAGCTGAGCTAGATTGGGAGCGATTGGAAGGACCGGGGAATCGGTAGGACAGAAACAGGGGAGGAAAACCAATTCGGTGAGAAGAACTTGAACGTCAAGATGTCATGTTTCTCAATGCACAGCATGAACAAAGGCAGTAGTAGTACAATAGAAAAGGAATGAATGGTTTTTTTTCCATGCAGAGACTCCGCACTCAACTCAGACATCATTTGGTGCGCCGCTTAGGCCACAAAATTGGATGTGATGGCTTTGATGTATGATGCAACGAGACAAAGCATTCGATTTGAAGCCCTATGTGACTTTGTTGAGTGTCTCTTGGTGCATTTGGCATATGACACTTGGCCTGTCTTGGCCCGCCGCGACAATGAGTCAAGACTGCATACCCATTGAACGGTGGAGATGGGCTGGCCATTCTGTTGTCATTGGACTTCTTGAAACTTTGATGTTTTTAAGGTCAAATGAACGACATCTTGGATGCCTTGACTAGCAGAGGTTGACGTCCGTGTACAGCCAAAGTCACAGCTTTGTTGATCCTTCGCGATGTTTTCGGGGTAGCACAGTAGAAACTACACATCTGTTGGTTTTCCATGTTCAATCTCCAAACCTGTTGAAAGCTGTTGCCTTTGTGGCGAGAATGGCGCCAGCGCTTCCAAGCAGAGATCGGCCTTCCCATGAAGGGTCTGTTCTGTGAATCCAGGGGCAAGGTGTTGCAGGTTGGTTTGGGATGTTTTGGGTTGCGGGTAGTTGTCTTACATCTTTCCATACCTTTCCATACTTAATGATTTCAATGTTATCCGGTTTTCCTGGTTCCAAGTTGTGTTGTGGACCTAAAAGTGTGTGAGCGAGTCTGACGCAAAGCTTAGTACGTCACTTGCAGCTCAGGTGAAATAAGACACAAATCGTTTACCGGTTTACTATGTTTACTTTGGTATTTGTGCATGTGCGTATATTATATATAATACTTATTTTGATAGGATCGCAGCCCTGATAAAAGAGCTGGATTTCAGATCTGTGATGTGTCAAAGTGACCTGCAGCACCGTGGTGGCACCCGCAAAGCGGGTGAACACAGCATCCTGCAGACAAGGTCTCACAGAAAAAGTGAAGTGTAACAATTGTAGCATGAGCCTCTGACTCGTCAGCCATGACTACGCAGATCATGTCGCATGCACGACTTGCGCTTTGTGACAGACCCTGACAATGGTATGCAGTTGACTCCTGGAGCTGGTAAAACTTGGGGTGCTACAGCTTTCTTTCCCGCTAGCCATTCAGCATCACGTGTGGGAGTCTTGCGTTTTTGCATCCAAATCACTAAGATGGCCCGTTCATTTGTGCTGACTGCTGCAGTCCTGCTGTCCTGCGGTGCATTCCTGACCGCCTTCGTGGCTGCTCCTCGCAGCTCCCACGTGTCTGCTCCTACCGCCAGCACTGGAACTGCAGCAGCCTTGACCGCCGCCACTTTGGTGACCCCACAGGCAGCATTCGCAGATGAGGGCTCCGTGTGGATCCCGGCGCTCTCTGCCATTGGCGCTGGCTTCGCCATTGGTTTCTGAATGGATTATAGCCACACACTTTTGTATACTCTTGTTCTTTGTTGTTTTTTCGACTCTTTTGTGATTCTTGATGGGTGTACCAGTTTTCTACCGTTTGTCTCACAATAAAACTTTTTTGGGATCAACGCGCCACCAAGGTTTGGCTGCGATCGGTTCAGGTGTCGGCCAGGGCATTGCTTCCGGCCGATGCATTGATGGCATCTCCCGTCAGCCTGAGGTTGCTGATGATCTCCGAGGTGTGCTGCTGCTGTCTTTGGCCTTCATGGAATCCCTGACCATCTATGGTTTGGTGATCGCTCTGGTGCTTCTCTTCGCCAACCCTCTCATCAAGTGAGCTCCAGAACCTTGAAACGCTTTAGCGGAAGCTTGTCACAAAGCTATACTTTTTCCAAGAGTCTCGAGGCTCCAAATGATCCAACCCATTGAGGATATCAAGGTGAAAAATGGCTCTGGCAAATTGCAATGCACAGGAAGCGTTTGAAGGTTTGGTAACGAGTCTATGAGCATGTAATGTGTCTATGTTCGGGGTAAGCTTTGCGATTGCAAATGCAACCTTGATGCAACCTGGCAAGGTTCTGAACGGTTCTGCTTGTTCCGTCTTGTTCCGCTTACGGCCAAGATGACAGCTGTATTTGTTTTCTTGCTGCAGGGCTCAGAGTATGCGCGAGTGCAAGTCCAAAGCCAAAGTCTTTAGAACAAAGCACTACAAAGCTTGCACGGACGGTAACAAAATGTAACAAACCTCTTCCATCATTTCTCATCACGGAAAGAAATGCTTATCTCTGAGTCTCCGAGTCACACTTGGACTTAACTTCGAATTTTTTGCCTTATGAAATTTGCCTTATACTTCGTGTTCAATGTCTAGTGCTTTGTGTCCTGTCCCAGTTTCACTGCTTTGCCCTTGAGCCTGGCATCGTTTCGTTGAACCCGGAGATGAAGCCTCACGTCGGCTTTGCTGTCGCTTCTCCCTCAGACCATTTGTGATCCGTGGCTATGTGTAGGGAACTTTCACAGTGAGGGCGTCATTTCTGTAGATTGCAACTGAGAGGTATTGGTGCCATTGCTGTCATGGTTTGCGCTCTGGAACTTCGCAAAGCTCCCGTTCTACTGGGACACCTGTCGGTCGAACTGTTGCGGTAGTCTGGTCAAGCCTCTGGAAAGATTCTGTGAATCTGAACACGGCTCACTGTTTTTGCCTTCGAACATGTCATCTAGATTATCTAGTCACGGTCATGGCACTACGGTTGCTACTGTCACCGGGAAAAAAAGAGGCAGCCGAGGAATTCAAAGAAAACTACGAATCTATATGATGACATCCATTTGGCGAAATTTAGGTTTAATGAGAAGATCCTTTGTGTGTGTGTGTGTTTGTGTCATCTTTGTTGCGAGCCGTTTCTCATTTCTCTCATTTGTCTATCTTCATCCAGCACAGCATTTGTGGCCTGATGTCCTGCAGTGCCTGAAGTGCAAGGAGCAAGAGCCAATGACAAATGTTACCTTTGACCCAGTTGAATGTGCAAAACCAGATCGACTGGCCCATTGTTCTGGATTGACAACGCCACTTGGAGAATTTACAAGCATGGATGCTATGCTTCCAAATTGTGTATCGTCCACTGCTTGCCCGAAAATTTGGAGAGGAATTCTGACCAGCGGCCTCAATAGCCAGATAACCTTTTCAACAATTCTAGATTTGCTTCAATCACAGCTAGACCATTTCAGACCACTTCAAGCCACATGTCTCGTCCAGTATGATCCTTATGTTTTGCTGTTCACATTTGCGTGAGTTTCCAACTTTAGAAAGATTGACAAAGCTGCGCTCAGGGAGTTCCGCTTGTTCCGTGCTTTCAACATTACCTCTGAGTACAAATTGCAGGCAGCAAAGGAGCCGAATCTGCGGTTTCTATGTTTCATGCAAAACATCTTGAAGGGCAAGGCAGAATTAGACATAGGCAAGGAAACACATTGGTGACATGGCTGAAGACGATGAAGAATGAAAAGGCGTTTTGGTTTCTTCAAGTTACTTGCTTATTGCAGGATCTGTTCATTCTCCCACACACCGCGATGGGTGTTTGCTTGGAAGCTTGGCAGCAGTGAATCTCCTGTTGTTTCTGTGATCAGTGTTTTCTGGTTCCAGGTGCTTGTTTTTCCCTCCGTCAGCTGGTCGGGAAGTTCCCCACATAACTCTTACAAAATTTACAGCTTTCTACCCCCCCGGGCCTCTATCCTCCCTGAGCCAAGGAAGTGATGTTCATCTTTGCTCTTTGCATGGGAAATCGAGGCTCTTGCGAGGGATTTGACGGGCAAGTGTTGGACTGGAGAATTTTGCGTCAGGCCTGTATGAACACAGCAAGATCTTGCTTCCAATGACGGCCATCTTCGCTATACACATCTTGCCAGTGGCGGGAGGACGGCCAAGGATTTAGCCACGGGTTCCAAAGGAAACAACCGGTTTTAGCTTTAGTTTTAGTTTCACTTTCTTTGCCCTTTAGCCTTGACGTATCTCCATCGTCAATTCTCAATATTTCAGCTCTATCCAAGCTTTTCTTTGTGGGATACATGCCAGCTGATCTGAAAAGGTAGTAACAAGGCCAACAAGGCCAAGCTCGAGACACTCTTGCGAGGAATTCCCGACACGCTCACAGGCTTACCTGTAAATCAGGTCCTGGAGCCTTGGTTTGTTTAGTGCCTGCAGCTTCCTGGAGCTCCCTGGAGCTTCTTGTTTTTTTTTCCAATTCATATTTCAAGATGGCGCATTCAAGTTAACTCAATTCATTCAGTCTTTGACTTTGTCCGAGTACTGTTTCTGGGTCTCAAAAGTGGCTGCGTCCTCTGGAATGCGGCGGTTCAGTTTGGCTCACAGCTCAGGTGGCTTTGCTGCTCTTGGCCACAGCCACGGGTGCCTTCGGGATGTACCGCGTCAGCTCCTCAGGGACAAAAGCACGTGCCTAGAAGGCGATGCGAATTTGATGCGTTTTCGATCTGACTGCAAATTTCTTTCGCCAAGGACTACAATGCCAATGGTGGAGAGCCCCCCACAAGACAACGTGCTGGGAGGCTCCTCGATCGAAAAGTAGACAAGGCACGCGTTTACAGTAGCAAAGTAGACCCGTCTTAAATAACCAAAAAACAAGCCTTTCTTTGCTTCCCGTTATGATGTCCCCAAACTTTTGCGCAATTCGAACATGTCATTGGATAAAGATGGCAATGGAGTCCAAGTACCTTTGAATTAAGATGAGAGATTTCTCGCAGGCACATAGTCTGGAAATTATATGACGCTCCGGAGCGATCACCACTTGCGAAAAACACGTGCAGCATGCTTTCGTACTTTTTGGCACGGATAATTGAATTTACGCTCACCCTAGAATAGTTTGTAAGCTGACAAGACTGTGGCTGAAAACGTTTCCAAGAAGGGGAGATGAGGTTAGTGGCTCTTCCAGTTTGCTTGAAGGCGCGATAGAACATCGCGCTGCCTCGCAAGGATTCAAATGCAGTCTGCAGGGAGTTCTGACATTTCTGAGATTTCTCAGGTTGCTCTTTTGGTCTTGGATCACAATATCGGTGTTAGTGAATTTGGCGCCGATTGGTGAGCAGCTTCTTTGCATTTTTGCAACATTTGCAGTTTGCAGAGTTTTTGCCTGGCTGTCAGATAGTGCGCAAGTGTCCTCCCAAAGAAGGGAACATACCAATCCACTGCGACTGATATTCACGCATATCACATGTAGCCATAGAGCCAAATAAAGCCATTTGGTACTAATCTAAGGTGGGGAATGCTGCTGACCTCGTGGAATTCGAAAGCATCACCAGATGTCCCAAATCCGCTTTCGGGCCGCGACTTCTATAGCAAATTGAGCCTCTTGCTTTGTGAACGTACCATCATTTGAAAGCATTTGTTTCAATGCTCTGAATATCTTTGAATATCTTTGAATGCTCATGCTCTCCCTGTGCACTGCTGCAATGCCACTTAGTGCCTGGTGCGCTTTTTTCTAAACTGCTCTGTGTCGAATTGACGCGGAACTCGCCTTTGCCTCAGATTGTCCATGGCTGGGCCGCATCGTCAGGAGCCCCAGAAATCACAGCAATAGCAGCTCAGAAACAACACACCGATAGAAGTACTTAGGAGAATCTTAGCAGATGTATATATTGCATATCCAAATGTCAGTGATTTCTTAATGTTTGATGTTTTGATGCTTTCACTTAGCAAGATTTTGAGGTCTCCTGCCGCTGTTTTCTCCAATTTCTGCAAGTTCACTTTTAGCCTGATGCATTTTGACAAGGTCAGTCTTTTTTGAAAGCTCGGAAACTGCAGCTAAGGGTGCCATGTTCGCTCTTTTCAATATCTTCATGTACGCTTTTGAAGCTTGGCATAGTTCTGGAAGCACCACATGGAAGCAGCACAAAACGCAGCAGACGCAGAACTGCCGGTTGAACACCTCGGAAATGTGTTTTTGGATTCTTTTTGTGGTCTCAGGACGTTTACGCTGAAGAAAGAGGGGCACGATGGAGAAGTCCGTTCAGCAGGCCACATCACAAAGTTGATACCAAGTATGATGCCAAGTGCCTGGCACATTTCACTGAAAGCACATCCCAAGGGTTCACAGGATGTTCACAGCATGTTCACAGCTTGTGCAGAGCTGGTTGATGCATTTTGGTTCTGGGGTTGTGTCAAGCACATTTCTATTGCAACGCGTTGTGGCAGGGATGGGCCAGCTCTTTGGCAATTGGCAAGGATGCCATATCCCAATGTCGCGCAACAGAAGTTGAGAGATGATGTTGGTAGCCATATGTGATCGCAGGATGTTTTCACTTTCTGTGTTTGCTCAACTACGCCCTTGTTTTGCCATTATGTGATGTCATTTGCAGGTGGACAACAATTTCTATCAGATGCCTGAGCGGTGGCTCGAAGCCACCGGTGAGTGTTTTGTGCTTTGCATCGGCGTCTCCTGGCTGGTGACGGCCATGTTCAACCCAGGCGTGGCCGCTTTGACTTCCAGTGCAGTGTGCAGTGTGCCGTGCGCGTTTCCGTTAATGCCTTGGAAACTTGAAAAGGGTGACAGATGCGACAGGCATCTTCAGAGACAATATTCTTCGAAGTATTGTCGGATACAACAACCTTTGCGTGACTTGGCAGTTTACCTTAGTTGCAACAAGTTGTTTTGCTATGGTTTTTGAGGGGGTGTCAGTCACATGTTTCTTGCGAGGTCGGATTTGATAGCGTCCCGGCGAGATATGTGGCCATGCCATTGCTGGTGATGCAAGCTGTTTTGGCTGCTCGTTGCTTGGTTGTGTTCGGCTTCATTCGGCTTCATTCGGCCTGCGCATTCTTCGATTTCACGGCGTTGTCAGCTTTTAACAGCTGTCAACTATCAATATCCACTCGCACATCTCGCACCAAGGGGGTTAGTATATGGGTGCGTTGATGGGGCTTGATAGCCGTCTACGTTGCGCAAACCTTCCCCAATGCACGAGTGGAGTTTGATACTGTTAACAGCTGTCGTTGCTCTAGCTGCTCCAGGTTATAGTTATTTGGACACCATCCGCCTCAAAGCCACCAGATCATATTTGACATGGTGGCAATTTCAGACACTCGGCACTTTCTGGGTCGAAGCTGCGCTGTTTCTTTTCTCCTTTGTACTTGCCAGCCCTTTGCCACTATTGTTTCTTAGGGCAGCACAACATGTGCCAGCTTCATGTGTACATGGCCTATCGCCATTTTGAGGCTTGGATATTGGGCCAACACAATCTTTGCGGCTTAGGCCTCAGAGCACTTGGTCAAAGTGAAACACTTTGGAATAACATTGACGTCTTGCGAAGAGCCAAAGATTTCCTGAAAAAATGCCTCACAAATCAACACTTAATGAGTTTTCAGAGTAAGATATGGTGCGGCTCAGGTGTGGATGGCTTGTTTCCCAATGCTCCTCGTGATCACAGCTGAATTTGACAGCTGGATGAGCACCAAGGCAAAAGATCGCTGTCTCGTTTCCACACAGCACCGATAGCACGGATGGTGTGATGATGGTGTGTTTGTTGTGTTCACCTTGTCACACAAGCTAGCTTTTGCTAGCTGAAGTCACTCTTGCTTTAGCAAGGTACTGGGGGAGCTGGAACCTCCAATCGCATGAAACTGCGTAGTTAACTAGGTCCACCGCTCACAGCGGACCGTGATACGAAATGACTTTTTTCATATTCCAAGTGCGTGGAATGCTCGCAATTACAATGGACAAGAATCCTGCAACATCAGCAAGGTGCGAAACGCGTAATTACAGTGTTGAAGTTTTTCGCGTGTAGCCCAGTCTAATTTGCTTCGAATATTTGAATTTGCGCCGCTTCCAACTATTAGTTTCTTGAAATTCATGAATTCTGCGAATACGCAATTACATGGGGAAACACATGTCCGGTTTTTCGACCAGAGGAATTGACGATGACGGCTTTCGCATATTTCAGCTGCAGGGTGTTCAAAGCTGATTGTTTTCTTGCTGAGCGCTTCAAAGTCCGGTGGCTTTCAGCCATGTTTTCCATGAAAAATAGAATGCCCTTGGAGTTGCAGGTGCCACAGACTGTTGGGCAACAAATTGAACATGACGCAACTTCCAAGACAACCTGCTGTAGCCTGGCAACATCGTCAAGACAAAAGTGCGAGGAACGCTAAAACACCCGCCCACACCAGACCCCATTATGACATGACGCAATCATTGTCAAGACGCAAGTGCCAGGAACGTTAATACACCCGCCCAACCCTGACCCCAACATGACATGACGCAACTTCCAAGACAACGTGCCGTAGCGTAGCATCATCTTCAAGATCTTCAAGACATCATGACACGACGCAACTTCCAAGACAACGTGCTGTAACGCGGCATCATCTTCAAGACGCAAGTGTCAGGAACGTCAACACACCCGCCCAACCCTGACCCCATCATGACATGACGCAACTTCCAAGACAACGTGCCGTAACGAAGCATCATCTTCAAGACGCAAGTGTCAAGAACATCAACACACCCGCCCAACCCTGAACCCATCATGACATGACGCAACTTCCAAGGCAACGTGCCGTAACGTAGCATCATCTTCAAGACGCAAGTGTCAGGAACGTCCTCACACCCGCCCAACCCTGAACCCATCATGACATGACGCAACTTCCAAGACAACGTGCCGTAACGCGGCATCATCTTCAAGACGCAAGTGTCAGGAGCGTCAACACACCCGCTCAACCCTGACCCCACCATGACATGACTCAACTTCCAAGACAATGTGCCGTAGCGTAACATCATCTTCAAGGCGCAAGTGTCAGGAACGTCAACACACCCACCCAACCCTGACGCAACCATGACATGATGCAGCTTCCAAGACAACGTGCCTTAGCGTAGCATCATCTTCAAGACGCAAGTGTCAGGAACGGCCACACACCCGCCCAACCCTGACCCCATCATGACATGACGCAACTTCCAAGACAACGTGCCGTAACGCGGCATCATCTTCAAGACGCAAGTGTCAGGAACGTCAACACACCCGCTCAACCCTGACCCCACCATGACATGACGCAACTTCCAAGACAATGTGCCTTAGCGTAGCATCATCTTCAAGACGCAAGTGTCAGGAACGTCAACACACCCGCCCAACCCTGAACCCCATCATGACATGACGCAACTTCAAGACAACGTGCCTTAACGTAGCATCATCTTCAAGACGCAAGCGTCAGGAACGTCAACACACCCGCTCAACCCTGACCCCACCATGACATGACTCAACTTCCAAGACAATGTGCCTTAGCGTAGCATCATCTTCAAGACGCAAGTGTCAGGAACGTCAACACACCCACCCAACCCTGACGCAACCATGACATGATGCAGCTTCCAAGACAACGTGCCTTAGCGTAGCATCATCTTCAAGACGCAAGTGTCAGGAACGGCAACACACCCGCCCAACCCTGACCCCATCATGACATGACGCAACTTCCAAGACAACGTGCCGTAACGCGGCATCATCTTCAAGACGCAAGTGTCAGGAACGTCAACACACCCGCCCAACCCTGACCCCATCATGACATGACGCAACTTCCAAGACAACGTGCCGTAACGTAGCATCATCTTCAAGACGCAAGTGTCAAGAACATCAACACACCCGCCCAACCCTGAACCCATCATGACATGACGCAACTTCCAAGACAATGTGCCTTAGCGTAGCATCATCTTCAAGACGCAAGTGTCAGGAACGTCAACACACCCACCCAACCCTGACCCCATCATGACATGACGCAAATTCCAAGACAACGTGCCTTAGCGTAGCATCATCTTCAAGACGCAAGTGTCAGGAACGTCAACACACCCGCCCAACCCTGACCCCATCATGACATGACGCAACTTCCAAGACAACGTGCCGTAGTGCAGTATCATCTTCAAGACGCAAGTGTCAGGAACGTCAACACACCTGCCCAACCCTGACCCCATCATGACATGACGCAACTTCCAAGGCAACGTGCCGTAACATAGCATCATCTTCAAGACGCAAGTGTCAGGAACGTCCTCACACCCGCCCAACCCTGAACCCATCATGACATGACGCAACTTCCAAGACAACGTGCCTTAGCGTAGCATCATCTTCAAGACGCAAGTGTCAGGAACGTCAACACACCCGCTCAACCCTGACCCCACCATGACATGACGCAACTTTCAAGACAATGTGCCTTAGCGTAGCATCATCTTCAAGATGCAAGTGTCAGGAACGTCAACAAACGAACGTCAACACACCCGCCCAACCCTGAACCCGTCATGACATGACTCACATGACGCAACTTCCAAGACAATGTGCCTTAGTGTAGCATCATCTTCAAGACGCAAGTGTCAGGAACGTCAACACACCCGCCCAACCCTGACCCCATCATGACATGACGCAACTTCCAAGACGATGTGCCGTAGCGTAACATCATCTTCAAGACGCAAGTGTCAGGAACGTCAACACACCCGCCCAACCCTGACCCCATCATGACATGACGCAACTTCCAAGACAATGTGCCGTAGTGTAGTATCATCTTCAAGACGCAAGTGTCAGGAACGTCAACACACCTGCCCAACCCTGACCCCATCATGACATGACGCAACTTCCAAGGCAACGTGCCGTAACGTAGCATCATCTTCAAGACGCAAGTGTCAGCAACGTCCTCACACCCGCCCAACCCTGAACCCATCATGACATGACGCAACTTCCAAGACAACGTGCCTTAGCGTAGCATCATCTTCAAGACGCAAGTGTCAGGAACGTCAACACACCCGCTCAACCCTGACCCCACCATGACATGACGCAACTTCCAAGACAATGTGCCTTAGCGTAGCATCATCTTCAAGATGCAAGTGTCAGGAACGTCAACAAACGAACGTCAACACACCCGTCCAACCCTGAACCCGTCATGACATGACTCACATGACGCAACTTCCAAGACAATGTGCCTTAGTGTAGCATCATCTTCAAGACGCAAGTGTCAGGAACGTCAACACACCCGCCCAACCCTGACCCCATCATGACATGACGCAACTTCCAAGACGATGTGCCGTAGCGTAACATCATCTTCAAGGCGAAGTGTCAGGAACGTTAACCCTGACCCCATCATGACATGACCCAACTTCCAAGACAATGTGCCGTAGCGTAACATCATCTTCAAGGCGAAGTGTCAGGAACGTTAACACACCCGCCCAACCCTGACCCCATCATGACATGACGCAACTTCCAAGACAATGTGCCGTAGCGTAACATCATCTTCAAGGCGAAGTGTCAGGAACGTCAACACACCCGCCCAACCCTGACCCCATCATGACATGACGCAACTTCCAAGACAATGTGCCGTAGCGTAACATCATCTTCAAGGCGAAGTGTCAGGAACGTCAACACACCCGCCCAACCCTGACCCCATCATGACATGACGCAACTTCCAAGACAATGTGCCGTAGCGTAACCTCATCTCCAAGGTGAAGTGTCAGGAACGTTAACACACCCGCCCACCCCATCACCCCTCCCTGTCAGTGTGCTGTCATCACCGCAACCTCCACCAACGCTGCATCATCTTCAAAAAGCAGCGAAAAACGCGGTAAAACCCACGGGCTGTTCCGTGCGATGGGCCAACTACCCCGCCCTGGCTGGTTCACAAGCAGTTTGGCCGTGCCTCGACCCCTGCTGGAGACACCGTCGGCATGTCGCCAAACTGGCAGCATCCGCATCCTCAGCATCATTGGCGTGGTCAACACCGCATGCTTCAAGTCACTGGCGCAGCCTCTCTCACTATTGGCATGTTCATGGCTAGCCTTAAATGCTTCATTTTCATTTTAGACCTTCACATGTGAGCTCCGTCAAAAACACGGATTTGCATTTATTCAGGCTTTTGAAACATTGCTGTCCCCATGGCTTTTTTAGCCTTTATCTTAAGAAGCCATCCTGCAACTAACTGCGGCTGATTAAGTGCGTGCTTTTCAATTTTGAATTGCTCTGCACAGCGAACGATAATAGAAACCGTCTATGGAGATATACTTTTCGTCAACAATTTTGATAGAACGATAACAACCTTCTACCCAAGATATGCTGTCGGTTGAATCTGTGTATGGAGCTACGGGCGGAAACCTTCCGCTGAGGTATTTTCTTTGACCCTGCCATTCAAAGATAGCAAAAACCTTTTGCTCTGAGATGGTCTTGGTCTTGGTTGATCCCTTTATTTGAATGCCCGCGCTCGCAGCAAAACTGCAATTGTGGAAATCATTCTTGGCTAGCGCGTTGTCACTTGGAGCCAGCCACACACAGCAAGAGAAGGCTTCTCTTTGGTACGTGCACTTTCTGTTTCTTGGTCGTGGCCCGGAACAAAAACCGGAACGATAAACGAACCATAACCAAAAATGCATGTCTATGGCTAGGCAAGCTAGAGACTGGTTTCAAGATTAGTTTTGTGAATGGACATAGGACGAGGCTGTGATGCTCCGATGTGAAAACTACATTGAGGATTCCTGAGATGCTTTTCACGCTGTAACTCCCATACGCAAGTGCAAGAGCAAAGTGCTTGTAAGATGCTTTCCACCTTCATTCAAGCTGCCAAACGGCCTGCGAGATGCTTCCCGCAATCTCACCGAAGTGGCAAAGCACAAAGGCGCACAAAAAGCATACTGTCAGTGAGATGTGCTCGCCCCATGAGCACACAACAGCTAAAGCCCCCAAGGAGCCACAGCGCAAGCGCAATGCAAGGCTGCAAAACCCTTACCGAGACAAACGTTAGAAAATCGACAAACTGCAGCGCAACACTCTGAAATAAATTTACCCCAATGCGGCCGCTTTTCTGCAGAGTTTAAATATTCCTATGGCCTTTCCAGATGTTCCGCACATATTTCTGAGCATCAAGATTTGTTCATTTAAATCCAGCATCGAGCAATTTCCAAGAGGCCGTCCTGCAGAATTGTATGATCCAAACATGAGTATTCCAAATTTTAATTAGGTCTTTGACATCTGTCATGTAGTTTAGGGCTAGTTCTCACAATGGCAAGCTTTTCTTGGACATAGCATTCCTTCATGTAGGTGAGTTTGCAAAGATCTTCCGGAGCAATTGCACAGGCATGCTTCCTCTTTTTGCCCTCATGACATCTACCTAGCCACGCTTTCAACCTCTTCTTTTCTTGCAACTTCTAAGCCTCTAAGCCTTTCAAGGTCCACTCCGATGCTGAAGGTGGACCCTTGAATCTTCTTCCTCTTTAGTGACCACCACACTACTGAGCGGGAGTTTCCTCATTATGTACACGTGTGATACAAAATTTTGCTCTCTTTATGTGACATTGATCCACCTTCAATGTGTCCCGTTCATCCCAAACCAAGACATTCAAAGCCTGGTCTTGGACATAATATCCTTTGGTACAGATGAGTTTGTGAGGCTACTCGGTGTTTTCATGCCAAGCCCCCTGCCAAGCTAGCTTTCGTCACTTACCCCTGGGCCTCAAGTTTTGAAGCCTGTTGAAGCGTGCTCCGCTGTGCAGATCCACCTCTTCCTTTTCATGGCGACTCTGCCACTCAACGCAATTGTTGCTGCAAAAAGCACCCAGCAGAGGCGTTGTGTTTCACAATGCTGATGTTGTATTTGGCTGAAGCTCTCAGGTTCATCATGTGGATGATGCTGGCTGGCAACGTCATTGAAGCACCTGAGTTGGAGCTACTCTGTTGCAAGAATCTCTGTCTGGTCCAAGTGAGACAGTGTGTGATTTCTAGGTCAGCAAGCAATGGAATTGTCACGAACACTGTCAGCGGAGCTGAACTGAGGTTTGGGACGAAAGTCTGGTTTGGGCTCTTCACATTTCACACATTCATGCTGCCAGTGGTCGGAACAATTGACGTTTTGAGTTTCCATCCAGCAGCTCGGAACAAATTCGCCCAAACATGTCCGGAACCACGCCGTTAATTCAACGCCGCGTTTTCTTCAAGCTTTCCGGCAACGCCGGTGTTTTGGGGTCCGAGGAGTTGACACCGGACCAGATTCCTTCCATCCGCACATCAGCTGCATTCATTGCAGAGCTTTTAGATATCAGAGTTCGAAGGCCACAGAGAGGCGGAGTGACAGTTTGTGTTCCGTGACTTCGGTGATGGGAAGTTCACAAGAAATCTTAGTTTTCTATCGAAATGGATCACCAATGTTCGGAGTCATTTACTGGCAATCACAGTCTCTGTGCAGCAAAGGCGGTTTGCGCTGAAATGGAACAGAAGGGCCTGCAAGTGACACCGTTGGTTCAAAGCCGATCTTTGGTCTGAGGCTACGAATATCCGCACCCACCAATTCCATGGCCTGTGGTCGCATATTTGGATTATGGATTGTGGCTGTCAAGCATTGGGCACGAGACACACCAGACAAAAGCAGTTGTCAGCAAGTTTTCTTTTGTGGAGCTAGATATTTCTATCGTTTTCAGCTTGTGCAGGTTCATGCTGCTGATGTTGACCGTCGTGTTCCTTCCCGAAGCACCTCCAGCTTGAAGACTCAGCCCATGGTCGTAATGTTCTCTATCGTATTCTCATGTTCCTGCGCTGTGCCTGTGTTGTGGCTCCTTGGCGGCGCATTTCAGGTGGAAACTCGCATGAAAGTCGACATGAACACGACTTTCGGCAAGATCATCAGCCAAGAGGAAGTGGAGGAGCCGCGGAATCACGAAAACACGATCACCAGCACACTTTTTTGCACCCAATTGAAGTTCAGGGAAAATCTTTTTGCTTCGCTAAAGCGTTGACGTCAGGCACATCAAATCCAGCCCTGGTTCTCTAGATAGCGAAGTTATTGGTGTTTCTTACTTCAAGTATAGGAGAAGTTGCATGTCTGTGTTTGGGGGCGGGCATGCTGGTGCCGCTGCAGGGTACCCGCTGCAGGGTGCTGCTTGAGGGTGCTGCTATCAGAGGTGTATGCGCTTTGGAGCAGGCATGCTGGTGCCGCTGCGAGGTGCAGCTGCAAGGTGCTGCTTGAGGGTGCTGCTGTCAAAGTGGTGTGCGCGCGTTGGAGCATGCTGGCACCACTGCAGGAAGGCCGCTGCAAGCTGCGTGAAGGTGCTGCTGCCACTGAAAGGTGCTGCTTTGCAAGTTGCCCTGCTCTCCAAGTGCTGTCCGCGCTTTGGCGTTGGTGTGCCGCGGCACGGTACCGCTGCAGGGTGCTGCTTAAGGGTGCTGCTGCTAGAGCGGTGCACGCCGCTGCAGGAGGGCGCTGCTCTCAGAGTAGTGTTTGCGCTTTGTGGTATGCTGGTGCACTGCGCGGTGCTGCTTGAGGGTGCTGCTGTCAGAGTGGCGCAACGCATTGGAACGGGCATGCTGGTGCCAGTGCAGGGCGCTGCTGGATGGTGCTGCTGAGTATGCTTTGGAGCGGGCATGCGGGTGCCGCTGCAACAGAGTGATGCTTACAGTGGCATATGCTGCTACAGGGTGCTGCTCTCAGTGCGGTGTGCGCTATGAAGCTTGTATGCTGGTGTCGCTGCAGGGGGTGGCTGCGAGAAGTCTGCCAAAAAATATCTTTTGCTATCTGGAGCCCATGTTGGCGTAATTTTTTGGCTACCTGGTGCGGTCCGACGCCTGATGATCAGGAGTCTGATTCATCTGCGTCAGGGGACTACAAACTTGCAGTTTCTCGGACGTTCTAATAGATCTTGGAGCACCTTGGATCCCATCGTTACCGCGCCGCATTTTCCGCTGCAAACGCGTGTGGGTTCTTGGTTTCAGGTGTGCGGCTATGACGACGACGACGACGATGATTGAGCGTGATGACTAGTAGTTGCCACTGGCCAGCTCACGGGTTTGCAGATGTTCAAGCTTTGTCCCTGCAAGAGCAATTCATTTAATTAGTCTTTGAAAATGGCACGCGCAGAAATCCCGGAAAAAAGTATCAATAAATGTATGAAAATTGTTTCGTCGCATTCCCAGTATCGTTTTGAAGAGCAAAGCAGGATGAGAACTATGAGAAAAGAATGTCTAAGAGCCTGCTAATATTCCGCTGGCTTCGGTTGGAAATTTTGATTATATGAAATTTGTGAAGAATATAAATATATTAATAATTGTTTTAATTAAAAAATATTAGATAATTAATTTAAATAAAATATTTTAATTATATTAATTTAAATATAAAAATATTATTTATGAAAAAA